GTGAGCGCCCAGTAAACCCCGTTTCAAACGTCGTGCTACTTTCGACTTTATATTTAGTCGTCATACTTGGATAGAAACGCTGAAAGCTTTCATTGTGGAATCCTTATCCACAATGGATTTGTCATGCAAAGTCGTAAACAATAGGGAAATTGAATGACCTGACCATTGTCTCAAAAACAGAATGAACTTCTAACATGTCTTCAACAAACAATGCGAAATTAATAAGGAATATGCACCATTAATCCGGTTTGGTGCACGCGCCGCCCACAAGGCGGCACACTTTGAAAGAAAGAGCATGTTAATAGCAGGTCATAATTGTTTTGTGCTCAGGAAAGATTCGATAATGGATATTCTCTACTCATAAAACTTCGTAAAGCATAGCACCGCTTTTTTTATTTACTGTGAAAAATCTCATCGAAAGGGTTAAGCGTACCCCAACAGACTCTATAAAAAAAATCGTTTGAATCTGTTTGACGTTGCTGATCGGTCCTTTCCTTTGGAATGATCCGGATCAGGTTTAATATCGAAGATCATTCGGATCAAGGTGCATCAAAGATAACAATGAATCCTTATTCTGAAGGGATTAAGAAGTTTCTTTGATGCGCACAGAGATCCCAGAAATCTCAGTTTATCACTTGAAGGGACCGAGTTAATCTCTACTCATAAAACTTCGTAAAGCATAGCACTGCGTTATTTATTTCTTGTGAAAAATCTCATTGAAAGGGTTAAGCGCATTAAGCCAGGATAAGCGTACTCCAACAGATTCTATAAAAAAAAACTCGTTTGAATCTGTTTGACGTTGTTGTTTAAGTTACAGCATCAGTAGTACTAGCATTGTAGGAGTCCCATTGTAGATTATAATTGCATGTTTGTTGTTTTTTAATCATTCTGGCAATGTTGTGAGTAAAAGGGGAATCAAGAAGTTTAGATTTCTAATCTGATGAAACGTCTGATCTACTGCAGCCAACCCTTGGATTCAAGGGTTTCTTCAAGCCGCTTAAGGTAATTAAGAATCGGTTATACAAATTGATCTATCTGCCTTTCTGTGAGTAGTGAAATGCTTTTCGAAAGAACAGATACTATGAAAATGTTTCCACTTGCATACCGCAAATATCCATACTGTATATGATTAAGTAGAGCGTTAGATAGGGGCCTTAATCGTTATAATCGACAATCACCTTTTGCAGGGTGGGTAACCTGTTCGTTGGGTACTGTCATTTTCATCGGTTGAAAATGTCGGTGGACGAGCCGTCCGTGTTCTGTAGGATACAAAACCAAAAAAGTTAAATTCGTGTCGCCAAATTGAATTCACTTCTGGCTTACAGGGATAATTAAGGCAGACTTTTTAGGGTCATATAACTCCTCCATATTTAAAATTAAAATCACTCTGGAGACATTTATTACTTTCTCGACTTTTTCCATTGTGGCATAAAAAATACATGTATTTCCGACGTATTTTCTTCTTTCTTTTAATAGCTTGCTACTCCCAAAGCATAGGTTTCTTTCCTTCAGCCTCAAGCGGAATGCCAGACACCTTAACTAAAAGAAACCTCTGTTCACACGGGTATTTGACGCATTATTACTTGGGAAGCTGATGGATGTATATTTTCGGAAGTGCTATTATAGTAGCTTACCGTTTCTTGGGTTTATGTTTTTCTTTGTCGGTCGGTCTAGGATCTCTATCACCTCCAATGGGCGGATGATGTACCTCCGACCTAGAAAAAAACGTGGACTATAAAATTGCTAAAATCATGCTAGAATAGAATCACGTGTTGCGGCTTTATGCGCATATTCTGCCTACGCATGACCTACCCGATCATACTTGAAACTAGCAAGAGTCACACTGGGCTCTCCGGGGTTGTAATCTTCATCATCACATGATTCAAAGGTATGAGGAGAATGACGACGGATTCTTCTCTTGTTATCCTTTCATCCAAAAGCTAAAAAAAGGGAAAAGAAAAACATAGCTATATATACATTAGTTAGCTCCAGTGAGTTAACTCAAGTTCAGCGAGGTAACTCAACTCAAGTTAGTAGAGCGTCTGCCTTGTGAAGGGGATGTTGAAAGTTCAAAATCTGACACTTTGGGTCTTAAATACTTTATTAGATAGTTCTTCCTTCGCCCTGGAAATGGTTGGACTTTCGACTTCTTCTAGGATACAGATGTTAACCCATATCTCCCCACTGCCGGATCCAGACCTTGAGATAAGGGGGAGGGGGGAGGTTATTCAAACCCTGAGATAATGGAGGGGGGGGGGGCAGGGTCTCCAAAAAATGTTTTTTCGGCCCTTCGGGCCTCACTTTAGTCTGAAAAGAAGGAGGGAGGCCCAGGCCCCCCGGTCCTCTCCCCTTGATCCGCCACTACTCCCGTCTCTCGGGTGGAAACGGAGGAAAGTTAAAAATCCTCCTGGTACTTCAAAGATTATCTTCTATACACGAACCTGCAGATAGTTAAACCATGATAAAGATAACTGGCACTCCAAGTTTGCAAGGTAAGCATAGTGCGTAAAAGCAAAAAAGTCGCAAAATAAAGTTAACGCAATCTTCGCAGATCATTGTGTGTAGTTTGTATAGGACAATGGCTGTGGTCACATCTGGGCTACTAACTATAGTTAAGACGGGGATAACTATATAGTTAGCTATTTCGGTAAGGTGACCGCTTCTCTGTTCGCTCTAACTATAGTTAGAAAATTTACGCCTCGGTGATCCAAAATAATACAGACTAACTATAGTTATACCCAAGCAGGGTTGGTGGATTAGTTTAAGTTTAAAAAGAAACAAACAATCAGAATGTGACACTTCTTTTCGCACGTGCGAGATGAGCATGTATAAATAACCAAATAAAAACCAAGTGTGAAGCGAGGGGGAAACCAAAAACAACAAACAAAAAATTTACATAGGCTTATTAGAACTAACTGTTGTTAACTGCGTGGTGTGACCGCAATGTCGACCGAAAGCACTAACTATAGTTAGGTATGACATCATGTAGCTTCACACTAACTCTAGTTAAAGTTAAGTTACGTCGTAGATGTGACCGCAGCCATGGTGTGCATTACAATTATCATTTTACGTCGTTTATCGCGGAGGGAACGGATATATCTACCAATTTAAAGAAACATTTTTCTTATTGAAAACTTTGTCCACTCCCTGACAGTTTGAGAACCGTTAGCTTATTATTATTATCATTATTATTATTATTATTATTATTATTATTATTATTATTATTATTATATAAGATGTACTAGTGTAATTGCGATTGATTTTTTCTCTCAACATACGAGTCCAAAGCATGGACTTTGAGAGGCAAAGAGGGTTTCTACTTGATGGAGCGCACCCGCCTAAGAAGGTGGGTTGTAGAAAGGAGAGTTATTTTCTGGAGTTCATGTATGCTGATGTTTCCAGGGACTTTGTTGGAATAGTTTTCCATGTCCTTTACAAAGGGCTCCCATAACAACCGGGACTGTTGTTGTTTTCAGCCCCCACATTCGCTCAACCTTATTATTACATGTATTATTATGGTTCTTATCATTGTTATTCTTATTGTTTTTGTTATTACTTTTTTAAGTCTTAAATGGCGTGTGCTTTCTGGTGGAATTCGACATGTAATAATAATAATAATAATAATAATACTTGTATAGCGCCGATATCAATATTGCTATTTTCGTCAGCGCTTAAAAATAAAAATATTTCCCCCAAAAAATGCTAAGACTGTATAAAGTATACATGCATAAAGTGCATGAACCTACCAAAAAGAGTTAAAACAATTATGTCAACACTAAAACTATAAAAATGTAAATGTAGCCATGAATCGAGTGAAAAGTGTTTATCTTGACTTGTATCAGCTAAGGCCGATATAAGTTTTTTTCTACGAGCACGCCGACGCAAAAACCTAGTATTTTACTCAAAACTCTTTCTGCCATTGTGTAGTATTAGCAATGGTTCTTGTTTTTTACAATGAACTTGTTTCTAGGAACAGCAGGTTAGCTTAAGGTGCGTTTAGCACTGTAGAATATTGTTTTATGGTAAGACTGCTTGTTTTTCGCTTTGTAGACTCATCAATAAGACTCAAAGAAAAATAACGCCAGAGATCTGGGATAGCGTCGAGGAAGAAGAAGTTCCAAGACACCCTGAAGGGATGAATGGACTTGGAGTTTACCGTATTAGCGGTTATAAGGAGGGGGATCACATGTTGCTAGAGGATGGGCACAAGTGGCAAAAAAAAACGGCTCTACAAACTGAAAGGAACACCAGCGAGCTAGGTACGCCAATTGTAACGGGTCGTACAAATGCTCCAATGACCATTCCCGTTCACAAAAGAATACGGCATAATCAACCAAGCCCAATTCGAGAAGAAATCTGGTGAGTTAAGATGCAAAGCTTGCGGTGTGCACCCTGAGCAAGTTGAATGTTCTGTTCGACGGCATTTGAGTTATGACAAAAAAAGTCTAACTATATATAATGTCGGTTAGCACACTTGCCCCTCCTCAAGTAAACCCAACAAGGTATCACAGGTCGAGGGCGTCAAGGATATGCTACGTAAAAACCCTAATATGAAACCCTCAGAAGTCCAATCCGGGCTGGTGGTTCCAGCAGCAGCAAGACTAGGATGAGGTCGAGAAAGAAGCAGCCGACACTATAAATACTAAATGGATTTCCAACTTAAAGCAGAAACTGAAGAGCGAAATTGAGCCCCATGGACCGATTTCGAAGCAGTTGCCTGCTTTAAGGAAAACGCGGACAAGAAAAACCCCTTTGATGTCTACAAGATTAATGACAGAAGGGGAAACCCAGACTTTCCATCATATGCCTTCAAGTCATCAAAAATGAAAGCAATGATAGCTTTAAGTATGAACAAGGACAAAGACCATTACATCATCACAAAGACAATGAGCGATGAATTTTGCTTTTTTGATGGCGAACAAAAACACTGGAAGGGACTGGTAACATTGACAGCGAGTGTCTACCATCCTTTACTAAGGAAGCAGGTAGCTCTTGCCACAATGGAGACAGAGGGCGAGAACAGTATTTGCGTCGCATTATTTTGGGAATTGTTTACTAAAATGCTAAAACAGGTCTCGCGCAACCCATCCTTCATTTTTAATCCTGTTGGATGGTGCACAGATATGGCTGTAGCGAACCTTCGTGGTCTCACTGATGAGTTTGGAGCCCACATAGTTGCAAGAATTAAGTCCTGTGAGTTCCATTTC